AGCCGCCGCGGGCCGGTCCGTCCTCGTCCACACTGGCTCAGACTACCAGCACAGACTACACAGACACTAGTCCACTGGCTCAGAGAGCACACCGGCCGGCGAGCGATCCCATCGGAATGGTGCGTCCGGCCGTGGCTAACAGAACGCGACGTGCAAGACCAAAGCCGGCTCGGCGCGGCGGCGGCGCGGGGTCGGTCGTCCGTCCGTGCGTGCGTCCGTCCTCAGAGCTGGTTGGTATTGTTGCGTCACGGGATGGACCGCCGGACAACCAGTGTCTGAGGTGTTTAGTTGCGGATTCGACATTGCTGAGGACAAGCTACGGGTGTCGCTGCGACTGGTTACGGTGAATATGTTTGTATCAACGGCAAGACGGAAAGTGATGCTGATTTTAGCAATGGTTGATCGCTATTGCCTCAGTGTTGTCCCCGGCGATAGCAGCTGAGCGTCAGTCTGTCTCTCCCGGCTGGCTGGCTGGCTGGCTGGGATTCGGCAGCCGCTAGGACTTCATGTGCCAACTGCCAACCCCTGCCGTCTCTGCACCGTATGACACAATGACACATGGTGCCATGGCGTGACACCACACGTCACAGATGACACCGCGCCGGGCCGATGACGGATGGCGGCCCGCCCCACCTGATGACGTCACCGGACGCGGCGAACCTGACGCAGCGCGCTGTTAATTGCCACGCGCCACTGGCGCCGCCGGCCGCCGGCTGAATTTCAATTGATTGCATATCGATCGTGCGATTTTAGCAGGGCGTCCCGCGTCCCGAAAACAAAAGCGCGGGTAGGGGTGGGGGCGGGGCGGGGGTCTGGGGAGGGAAGGGAGCACAATGAGCGGCGTAATCGGCCGCCGGCCCCGCGCCGCCGCCGCCGCCGCCGCCGCCGCCCTCGATGCGAATTAATAAATCCGTCAGTCGGGAAGACGCCGCGATATGCCGCACGGAAACGCACGCTGCTCGCGCTATAAATTAGCATACCGAATTCATCGGCAGATACGTCTTCCATAAAACAGCGAGAGATCCTCCGGGCGATATGATATTAAAACATGGGGCGGCGGGAAGCGATCGTATCGCCCCAATTGGTCGGCGGCCGTGCTTTATGCCGAGCTGTCGGGCTGCCGCCGGGTGGATTTTTCGGCTGAGGGTGGAGGCGGAGCCTCTGTCGGCTGTGATGACAGTCAGACCTCGGTCAGCTATTAGTTCCGTGGCGATAGTGACAAACTATATCGTTTCCCAATCCCGTCGTGCAATCCGTACGGGTGAAGATGCCCTGCGCCGTGCCGTCGCAGCGTCTCCGTTGACGAGAGCGACAGTCGCCGGTGTCGTATCGTCGGCACCGTCGACGGCGGCGACGGGCCGGCGGCTGTCCCAATTATAACCGAGTCCAGGTCCTCGGGAGCTGAGTTGGCAGCCGGCGCGGGCCGTCACCCATTGTTCTCCTGCCCGCTGGCGGCCGGCGGTCATTTTTCGACGTCGCCCCGCGCCGCTGTCGACGTCCGTCCCCGTCCGACTGTCGTCGAAGGCGACGCGACACCGACCACGACGCGACGCTGGATATTTTCTCCGATAATATTTGTGCAGTTGTGGATGGTTTTCGTCAGGTGACGGCTCCAATTGATGGGAGGTGTAGCGGTGGCCGGCGGCTGCGGTGGCCGCGGCGGGGCGGGGTGCCGGTGTCACAGGAGGGGCATCAGCTGCCCTTGGCCACCCCTCCCCCCGGCCCTCGCGGCGGTCCGTCTGATGTGCTGATATGTGGCGGTTTGTATGTCGTTTGCCGCGTCCACTGGCCTATGACTCGCTCGCTGGTTTCATCATGCCCACTTATATTGGCCGACATCTGAGATGTTTGTGTTTATATTGAAGCCGCCCGGTCCCGCCCCGTGTCATTTAGACCAGCCGATGAAGCTTTCGTTTGTCCTCCTCTGCCATTCGTTCTGGTCGTTCTCGATGAGTCAGCCGCCGTGGAATTTGGGCCTACACCCATCAAACGCCGCCGGGCGAGTGGGTAAAGTAGTTTTACTCGGTAAACTGATAGTATCATCATACACAGTGGACCGCAAGCGAGGTCACTTTTCAAGTCGGACACTAGTTAACCTGATAAGCGCTCTTGATTATTACAGGCATTTTCAAAGCATACTGCGGTTTTATTCGATATTTCCATTATTAGAACGTGAGGATATCGATTTTAGTTGAAATGGTGATACTGTTCGCGTGATAAAAGAAGTACAGAAAGAAATAAAGTAGCTCAAGATTAGAAAGACCATCAATTCTTCCACATTCTTGAGTGGCACGTCGGGCTTTTGTATGTTAAATATCTGGCTGGTTTTTATCCTTTCATTCCGTTCATTTGTCTTGGTGGCGTGTTGTTGGTTTTAATCTCCGTCGGCGGTGTGTGCCCCGCGGTCGGTCGGTTGGTCTGGCTCTGCTCAGTCCGGCGCGCTCCACTCGCCCTGACCCGTGTTTGACCGTCTGATAACCGGCTCTCTGGTGATTGAAGCGCTGCTCGTCGGACGCGCGAGCTCCCGCCGGATTCCAGGTGACCGCCCAGTAAACCACGCGGCACACGCCGTAAAAAGGTGCCGATTAGGCCGCGATAGGCGGCCGCGGCCAACCCCGCGTCGGGTCGCGCTTTACTGCGGTGTCGCTACACGGGCAAAAACGGACCCGCGCGCGCACCTCGGCTGCCTGGCCGCGGCGGCGGTGGCCGGTCAGGGGCTCTCCCGGGCGGTGTAGTTCGGGTGCCTCGCTGGGAGCGGGAACAGCGCCAGGCCGTTTGCTCAGCTCAGCGGGTATTATCAGCCGTGGGCGAAGCATCAGTCGCAGAATAGAGAGGATGCGGGCTAGTCGAGAGTATCGTCCTCTCTTCTGGTGACATTCGAATCTAGTATCATGATTTACTTAAACTTAACCGGTCCTAGCGGTCCTGTCTCCGAGTTCCGACGCGTGTTCAAGAAAACTATACGGATATTCGCATCGTATCGTTACGTGTCTCCTCTCGTCTCCACTCTTCATCATGTTAAATATCCACTGGTTGGTCTCATCGTCCTAGGAATGGGATGGGCCCTTGCCAAGGTGCTGACTGTGCTCCCTCGAATATTGGTGTCGATCGTTGACTTAATTTACGTGTCAGCTGATTCCGGATTAATTCGTGGGATGTAACGAAGTTAAAGTGATGGTCATTGGTTAAATCTGTCCAGCTTAACGGTTGACATTTTATTGGAACATACTCTGGCTCAAAGCCATGCTCTTTCAAGCTCGTGTGCATTGAAAGGGGTATCTGTAAGAAGCTTACGCGGCCCTTTCGTGTATCCCTGCACATCGAGAGGCATTTCTACGGTCTGCCGGCGATGCCGGTACGGCCCGTTCTGAGGAGGAACGAGGCGATAAGTCTCTGCGCGTCTGAATACCGGGTGACCGCGGCCAGTCGCGCTCCTGTCCCGGTGCCAATGTAAACAGGGTGACACCGCACCGCCGGCCGCGACCGGTGACAATGGCACCGACCGGCCCCACAGCCGGCCGAACACCTCAGAGACCACTCCGGAAGACGGTAATGTGGTTTTCTTGTCGGGGTTCCGCGGCCCTGTCTGCTTGTGAGAGTCTGGTCGAAAGACCTGGCTCAGCGGGCAAGTGCTCTGCATTTGTTTTATTGCCGAGTGGCTCAGGTAGATGGGAAACTTGGCGGGCTGTCCATCGGCTGTCTGGTGGCTTTGGCTGCGGCTGCAGCTACCCTCTGGGCTGCCGACCGCGATGATGGCGTTATAATCATAGCACTGACATCGGCGGCGTTCCCACGTGTCGGGAAGGCGACCTGACATCCGTCCGTCCGTCCGTCTATTCCTGAGCCGAGTCCGTCAGTCCTTCCTTAGCCCACCGACCTTATCTTTGTCCTTCTTTTCTAAGCTCATCTGGGTCAAGACATCTCGGCTCGATTGGAGTCGAGTTTAACCTGAACTGTCCGCAACACGCTATTCGTCTGCGGACTCTATATCTCGACAGTTGACCAGCAGGAAGACGCCGGGCCAGCCGACTTTAGCCGACAGTTCCGGCGGATGTGTTTCGATCGATTCGATTGATGGCTGCGCAAACAGCGACACCGGTCGGCCCGTGTGAAGGTGTGGGGCCGGCGCAGAATGGCGGCGCTGTGGGCGCTATCAGCGGAGAGTCTGGGAGCCCGGCACCGGCCGACAGCCGCAGCCTTTGTACCGCGCGCGAGCCGCCCGGCCGCGTTCAACGCCGCTTTGTTCCGGCTATCGGCCGCACTCTTCTATCGCCGCGCGCTGCAGGGCCGCGCCGATCTGGTGGACGCTGCGGTTTGATACCCCTGAAACTGGTGAAAACTATCGGGTACACCAAATGGGTGAAGTTCCCGGCCGCGAATGGCCCCGGGTCATGCGTTTTGGTGGGTTTTGGGGTGGGTCTGTGGTCGTTTGTTGTTAGGATTCAGTCCATAATTGGTGCCGAAGTTTCACGGCCGTCCGCCGTTGTTGATATGGTGTCCAACGCTCGGTCAGGAGAACCCACTGCCTGTCACAGGTACCGCTGGCGTCCCTCCCCCGATACATCTGACGGACGGCTGTAGCACCCTGAGGGTGTGTGTATGACGTCATACTCCGCAGGGGATCAGGTAGAGTGGGGAGCTGGGGGGGGGCGGATCGATCGACGGGGAGCGCTCCGCTCCGACCGCCCTCTCCAGCCGCCCCTCTCATTGGAACAAGTGGACTGGTCTGATGTGATTATTTATAATGCAAATAAGCGCTATTAACAGTGGCGAATCAATAGCGAAGAGTTGGGGCGGCCGCCGGCTCGGCCGGGCTGACACAGTCAGGCCAACAGCTGGGTGTTCTGAATTTCGGCCGCACCAAACGACCTCGGGCCCTGATTGGGGCGAGCTCGCAGGTTAAGCCCGATTAAGTGGACTGGTTGGACGGTGTAATTTATAGTGCAAATAACGGTGATCTGCGACTGTCCTGCGTAGGTGTGTCGTTAATGAGTGATTCCATGGCCTGGGGTATCCTGGAGTGTCAGCGGTCAGTGGGCGGGGTGTCAGCGGTGTCAGAGGTGTCAGCGCCTCGGCTAATCTCTGTCAACACGGCCGAGTGGTTTATACGGTCTGCCGACGAGACCCCGCTGCCAATCGACGCGGGCCGCCGGGAGCTGGCGCGGCGGGCCGCACAAATCAGCATGCTTTACGCCGCGTTTGGTTTGGACGCGCTCTCAAACAGGGGCACGTCGATGGGACCGTCGGTGGTCGTCGGCCTCGACGAGGGTCTAGTCGCGGTACCGGTGTCGGTTGTGCTGGTCCTGTTCCCAGGGAGGGATTGTCGTCGGGTAAGCGCCGACCCCTGGGACCGTGCTCCCACTCACACACAGACAGACATGCACACTAACATGGCAGCACAGATCATTGATCATCACTATCAGCGCGGTGTTGTATTGCGGGGAGCATCATCCCCGGAGCCCGACGTTCGCGACGCTTTTGTTTGGATGACATGCATAAAATATGAGCCGTTTCCGGACAGAGATTATGAATATTTTGTCCGCTAGCCCGAAACGATGGCAGTTTCCATTTCAATATTGAAACGTCCCAATTATAAAACAGAAACGTATCTGCAATATTTATGGTCCCCGTCGCGGGAGGGTTGCGCGTTATGCTGTGTGTTGTGCGGTGTATGATTGTATGACTGTGTCTGTGTGCTCTGGGGCTGATTGTTTTCGCCGCTCTGCTCACAGCCAAGGACTCACGGCCGTCTCTGGTCGGCCGTCCTGAGGAGACCGTGGCCGACGAGCGGATCGCGCACATCCTCACCGAGGCGTCGCAGGCGATGAAGTCTGAGCAGCCGTCCGGATCGGAGGACCGTCCGCCGGCGGAGGCCGCCAGCCCGTCTGCCCAGGTGAGTGACAGTGGAGATATACACACCCGCGCGCCCCTCTGACCCTTACCGCGCCGACTGAACCGGCACCCCTTGGACGAGGCGCGCGGGTCAGGTCGGGTCGCGGTGGTCGCTCACAAATCGCCGCGGCTGTTTTCACCTGCGGTACTCTGTCACCGTCATCGGCCCGCCCGCAGCCGACCGCCGACACCACCTTTATCAAGCGACGATTTACGAATGGGGATTTTCATATTCAATAAAAGCTCGCCCGGACGGGGATTTATTGGAGTTCTAAATCAGCGGATTAGGTGGCGGCTGACGGTGCTATCGGATGCAAATTTATACATTGATTATTGTGACTTGTCCATCGGCGGACGGGCGGCCGTAAAGAGGCGCCGATCAATGGCCGATTTAATAAGTCGGCGGCGGCGCCGGGCCGGGTCGTGTCCGCTGGTAATTAGTACTCTTTGCGGCCATCGACCGCCGCTGCCGCCGCAACTAAAACAAATACCGCGGCTGGACTGTGGCGTTGAGCACGGTCCGGAGTGCCGTTCCAAGGGAGTGAGTTCGGGTGATAGGGTGTGAGCCGTGAGGGCGCTGGGGCCAGCTATCCCGGGGCAATGGACGGGGCACCTGGCTGCCGTGCGACGCGACGCGACGCCGCGCTGGCTCAGACACCGCAATCACTTCCTTCCTGCATGGACAAATTATCGTACTGCATTGCGGCAATGAATTCGGGAATACTCGAGTGATGTTTGTTTAATTCGGGAAGAAAAACAAACGCCGCTGGCGGTGGCTGTACGCGGCTGTGGCCCCTGGGGTCCCCGCTGCCAGGCCGGTCGCCCGGCTCCATTGCTCACGGTTCAAGTACGGTGCCTCGCCGGCATTCCTCTGTCGAATTACGGCCTCAGCTGCTGGTGACCGTCGGTCCAACGGCACTAAATACTCGGCACCGATGGTGTCGCTTGCTGTCCGGGCCCAACTGTGCTTCGACCGGGTCCTCGCGCCTGTGGCTTGGCAGGTCGGTGGGACTACCTGGGGGCCCGATAGAACGCCAGACTGTAGACTTCGTGGCTCTAATACCAGTTTATGCATGATACATAACCAATATCGCATGCAAGACGCACTGCTGTTGGCGCAATGGTGCGAACTGCGAACACATTCACATAGACACATGAGCATGAGGCACATGCAGCCAGCGAGCCAGCCAGCGAGACAGACAGCCGGGACTGAGCCGTTCGCAGCCGAGCAGCGCTGCGCGCGTGGCCGGCGGCCTTTCATCCAGTAGCTGGTGGGGCGACACACAGACATACAAACTGCCGATCGGAGCGGCGACCGGCCGCCTCCATAATTACACCCCTGAATATGTGTAATCAGAACCCATTCAAAACAAATCTATAGAGGGCGCGATCAATGCGCATTCGGAGCGGGTAAAACAAATGACGCGGAAATTAACGCGCCCGGCGCCCCTCGCTGATCAGCGAATGTGTGCGTGACGGCCGCCGATGCGTTGAACTGGGCGACAGCGGCAGTGGCGGCAGCAGAAGTGGCGGGGGCGGGTCACCAGGGTCCCTGGGACGGTCACCAAGTAGCGGTTACGGACGGTGAACAGCTCAGAGGCGGTCTGTATAGGGCTGTTTGTTATGGTCTGTAGCGGTGGGCAGTTCAGTCTGTTTGGGGGTCTGTTTGTGGCGGTGGTCAGCTCAGCCTGTTTGTTACGGTTTGTTTGTGGTAGTGTGTTTGTAGCGAGAGGTCTGTTTGCGGCGCCGCGGTGGCCGCGCGGGGTGGGCCGCCGCCTGACGCGGCCTCTGGCAGTAATTAGACTGGCGGCCAGCGGGCGGCCGGTAAAAACGGCCAATTAACGGCCGATAGTGCACGGCGCTCCGCGGCCCTCGCTCGTAAAGCGATGATTTGCGCACATGTCGACTGACTAGGAGACAACGTCCCTCTGTGCCCGGCGCTGCCTGCCGCGGCCCGGAGGAGCGGGGGCTGCAATGTTGCGACCCTGGGGGAGGGGAGGGGCAGGGGAGGGGTATCAACAGCAGCTGCACACCGGATGGAAGTTGGCGATAAAACAGCCCTACGCGATTCGTTATTGCTGCGTTGCGAGATGGTTTATTCATCGATCAACAGAAAATCATGACCAGATGCCCGCTTTACATGCGCTCAGCTGTGGGCTGGGCTACGTTCGAGTCATGTTGTCTACCCGCTCGTCGTCTGGGGTCAGAGATTCAGACTTCAGAGAGGGAGAGAGCCCGGAGACCGGGAGCGGCTGGGACGGCGCTCGTAGCGATGGACGACATCGGCTCTGCGATCAGACGTGATGGCCGCGTCGCTGATGTGCCCTGTCGGCATGTTTTACCCGACGGACGTCACCTGTCCTCTCTCCTTTCCTCCCCGCTCTACCCGCGGTGTGCCGGCCCGCCGCCGGAATGCGGGCAGAGGAGAGCCGGAGAGAGCGGCGGAGGTGCACAGGAGCCGGCGCACGGCGGGGCTCCGTCCGATCGGCTCCTGCTGATCGGATCGCTGGCCTCTATCGGCTAATATCGGCGACCCGGGGCGCGGCCGGTATCGGTGGCCAAATTTGACGGGCAGCTGCGGCGGCTGTCGATATGCAGCGGTCGGCTCGATGTCGCCGGCCGCACCGGGCTCTCTGGGGTCGGCTCGGTGCCGGGGGCGGCTGCCGGCCGCCGATCACACCTGCCGCGGCAGATAGACGGCCGCCCGCACATGGCACACCTGGACCGGCTGACTACCCATATCGGTACCGACTTCCATCGACCGTCGATTGGCGAACATTAGGTGACCGGCCACTGACAGTAATGGAGGTCGACTCCGATCGCAGTAATGGGGATCAGAGAGCTGATCAGGTGTGCAGGGACGGGAGGGGTGTGTCTGCTTGTGTCCGCATCGGAACAGTGGATGTGTATACCGTTCGTCGATGCGAGCGAGCAGCGCGACTGACGCGTGATGCCAGTTGACCCACTGTGTCGTGGTCTGACTGGATATTTCCGTCATAACGTAGCGTCTTGCAAGGCGTTGTCAGGCGACACTCCCTCACATTATAAGTACTTCCTTCGTTTCCCTCAATTCACATCTCTTCTAATCTCGTAGGAGACGCTCCCTGTGCAGCTGCCCATCTGCCCCGCCCCACCCCCGCCGCCACCCCGCCGCCACCCGGTCCAGCCCGGGCCTTCCAAGAACGTCCGCTCGACACGCTAATGAATTGATTGATTGAGTGATCCGGCCGAGCCGCCGGGTCCGGCCGGCCGGGCGGCCGTCGGCGCTGCACCCTCCGCCCGGCCCGGTCGGTCCGGCGCCGTGCAATGTTGCACAGTGCGTGTGCACGTGGCAGTGACAGCTGGCGATGGACGCCCGACCGGTGCGGGCTGCGGGCGGGGGCGGGGGCGGCCGGCTGCGGGCGGACAGATCAGGGGGGGGGGGGGCGTCACTCATCAATGCTGCCGTCGGACAGCAATGGTGTGAGGAGGATCTGCACGGGCTATCAGTGTGGAGAGTGAGCGGTACTTTCGGACATCTGTTCCTGCCGTTGGGTATCACATGCTTTGTTCCAAATTCAAACTCGGTATCCTAAGCGTGTGACCTTGCGCTTTTCATAGGAGTAGTAGATATATGTAGGTGTATCTGAGTTCGGTGTGGTTTTATAGCGCGGAGAGGCCGAGGGCGGTCTGGCGTGTGCCGCGTCCAGCTCTGTCCGTCCTCCTCACTGAAGGCTCTGGCGTCGGCTGATGCTGACGGAGTGATCGGGGATCGCGCTGGGCCAGTGATCGGTGATCGACACTCGAGTGACGGCTGAGTGAGAGGGCCAGCTGCGGCGGCCGCCGGCGCCGGAGACGCTGTGACCCCGGCGTAGGGCAGACCGGGCGAGAGTGGGCGCTGGGCGAGGGGCGAGGCTGGACACTAGGCAGGGCGGTTCGAGTTGTCGATGGGGTCGATCTGAGCGTGAAACGTGGTGACAATGGCGTCCGGTGTCTGGACGAACAGTGATGAAAAGGCGCGGCGCCTGCAGGCTTGGTCCGATAAACTGGTCTGTGGTCTGTGAGGAGACTGATGGACCCCGGAGGCTTCTCACCGTGTTCCCCAGACCCAGACGGCAGGGAGGGAGGGGGGGAGTGTCCCCCGTGTCGCCGTGTCGCCGTGTCGGCGCACATGTTTGATTGTATTGCGCTTGGCACGCGCGCCCCCACCAGTCATTTGTTGCCATCGCGGCCGGGGCGTGCAAGCGTCATTCACCTCCAAAACAAACACGGCCGCCCAATTGGAATTATATCGGGACGCGCTCGTTAATCAATATGGCGTCTGAGCACTGGTTACCGGCCCTTCTTGGCACAGAGAACATTGCTCGTTATGTGGGTGTCATTCAGGTGGGGGGGGGGTCCGTTGATGGGTCGTGCCGGGGGGGGGGGCGCCGCTGCTCTGATTAGCTGGCTCTGTTAGCCGCCGTCCGATGATGGATCGCCCGGGCAGCCCGTCCTCAAATCCGGCCACATGTTTTTCCGTTCGCCTGGCAGCTGTTTTGACTTTTTGTTACAAGTTTTTAATCCAGAGATGATGTTTGTATCTGCTGGCATGATATATTTCCGGTCGCTGTCATATTCCTTTGGCTAATCGCGTTCCTTGTTGGGGCCTTAGTGCAACATAAAAAGATAATTAATGTTTGTGTAAATATAGATGCGCTAGGTGAATGGGCACCTGGATTGCGGCGGAAAAGTGACGCGTCACGGTCGTTACGGCGTCACGAGTGCAGCAGTCACGTCCGGTGTCGCCGTGACGGGTCCGTGTGTTGAACGTGTGCGTGGGCGGCGGGCGGCACCCTTTACCCCGCCGGCACCGCCCCAGACGGATTGCCCGGTTATTTCGGAGAGAGAGGGGCAGGGCAAGAGCGGTGAGTCAGCGCCCGCTGGCCGACATGTTTGTTGCAAGTGTTGGATGGTCACCAGATGACGGCAATGAGCACCGTTAATGGGCCGTGCACAATGAAGTGTCCCGGTGCAGCGGCGGACCCTCCCCTCCCCTGCGGCCGCTCCCCTTACCCCGGCCCCCGGCCCTCTGTTTCTGCCCCCGGCGCTCTGTCTATCCACCCCGGCACTCTGTCTATCCAGTATCCACTCCGGGTCACTCCACCTATCCACTGCCGGTCTCTCTATCTTTCCACCCAAGCACTCTATCTATCTAGCCCGGGTCTGTGCTATCCATATTCCATGCAGGCCCGCGGTCTACCCATCCAGGCACTCTGAATAGACAGAGTGCCTGGATGGATAGACAGCGGGTCTATCCATCCCGACTCTCTGTCTATCCATCCAGACCCGCTGTCTATCCACCCTGGCCTTATTTCTATCTGCCCATGGTTCTCTTTCTATCCCACCTGAAACCCACTAGGCCTTTGTTCCACCAAAAGCACTGCAACTCTTTCCAAACATAATCGTTTTCGGCCCTACAGTCTTCAACAATTATTGCCGTTCAGATTCAGATTCAGATTCAGATGTATTCGAATAAGGTCCACAATAAACGTGGCTTTTCACTCATTCACGTCTTATGTAGAGCAGAAAGGGAAGCTGGAACACAAGACACTACGGCCATTCTCATTCTTACACATACGCATGCACGCGGGCGCGCGCGAGCGCGACACCAAAACACTGAAGCTCACAACGACATAGCAAATCGCTTCGCTTCAGCCCGAAAAGATGGAATGCCGGGCTCAATGCGCGAGTTATTAATGAGTGACATTCCGCGATAACAGAGTCGCCGCCTGCACCGTTCATACTGACCTAGCTTTTATAGTCCGCATCTTCATCTTTTCTCCGGATATAAGCATATAAGCCCTCGATTGCTTTTCTCAAATCCCTACAGACCTCTGGCCTCCAGTTCTAGTCTATATTGTCACCTGGCGGGTGGCCGCCGCGTGATCCCCGCACAGCTTATCGAGACAAACTACAACCAATTAGCCGGTTTGTCGCCGCTTCGCCTCGCTTGTCGCCCTGTCACTCACACTGTGATCCCGTCCCGATGCATATGCATTCTGAACTACATCGGCTGTCGGCAGAGACCGGTATCGCGCGGGGCTCGGTCCGATCGGACGGAGATCGGACATCGTGGCACGGTGTGCCGGGCGGCCGGTGACACTGAACGGACAAACCGCCGTCGATTGGCAGTGACACTGAACGAACAAACCACTGTCGATGGGCGAGGGGGACAGTGACGGTGACACTGAAATGGCGAACTGCTGTCAATAGGGCAGTGACACCGAACGAACGAACCGCTGTCAGTAGGAGGATGTGGTCCAGCAGCGGACGAGCGCCATCGTGCATCGTGCAGCTGGCGAACCCAGTCATCGTGCACCGTGCGGCTGGCGAACCCAGTCGAGCGGTGTCGATTGCTGCCGCGCTGGTCATTTTCTCCGTCAATGAAGCCTTCTGGGAACACGTCCGTCGGTTTCCGCTGCCGCGGCGCCTGATGTGTGCTCGGTGACCGCAGTTGTGCATTGCTTGTTGTCATGCCACCGCTGAGTCGATATACGGCTAGAAGCGGGAGATCCAGGAACATTAGCGGCATTTATCAGGAGCCCGGTGATGCCACGGTGTGTTGGCGTCACTAGCCGGCCTTTTTTCCGTGTGGTCGGAGACGGGCGTTGTTGGTTATTAGCTGTATGATCAGATGTGACGCGTCAGATGCGCGTTGATGGACTCGGGGCAGTCGTCGATGACTCTGGGAGCTGCGCTGTCCGACCTGCAGAGGACAGCGACGGAACGCGACCGGACTTTGCAGGTCACTCTGTCTTTATCATCGACAGACGTTCAATTAAGTTGACTCGCTCAATTGATATATTGTCTACAAGTGCGCGCTGTGGGCCGGCCGGGCGGTTGGTCAGTGGCCGGGCGGTGGACGGTGGTCGGCGTACGATGCGGAGTGGGGCCTACCAAGCTAGTGCCGTTGGCTCGGATTATAGCTCAGAGGGGGACCGTGTCGTCGACGGTCGGCGGTCGGCCTCCCGTGCACGGTAGCCGCTGCTTCTGCATGTCTCCTGCACTGTAACCGAACGATTAGTTAGTCGGTGACGGCAGTGAGAGGCCCCCGTCGGAGCGCTCACACCGGGTCAGTCGATGCACCGTGCTGGGCCGCTGGGAGGGGCGGGAAGCTTCCTGGGTGTGGCGTGTGACCGCTGTACGACCAGAAGGCGCCGGGCTGAGCTGTTACAGCGTGAAAGGCTCGGCAGAAACGGTTAGTGCCGGATGTGCACGATTATATGGCAGAGTTGCTTCATGCGACCGGCTGGCCCGGGGAGGGGGCGTCATCACAATAGCGGCTCCGCAACACACGGGCAATCGGGCGTTATTTATGGCCAGCCAGTGGTGTTGTGCAAGCTTCCGGTGCCGGGGGCGCTGTGTTGCGCTGGTGGACCAGGTGGGGTCGCCCGACCCGCTGACCGGGCTGTCTCAGCAGCCGCGCTCAGCTGCTGGCGACACTGTCACTCGGGGACGACGAATAGGAATGGTAGACGGCCTTTTCTGATGGCTCCGCTGTTTATCCGTGAGGGGTAGAGGACGCCTTGCCGACCGGCGGCAGGTCTGAAGGTCTTCTACGCTCACCCGACGTGAGCGGTTGTGCGGCGACACAGAGTGCTATTGGCGCCTTCTCGAGACGATCACCCAGCCGGGTTATGCAGATGAGGTGTGGGGCTCATTCAGCAGTGAGCTGATCCTGTGCAGTAATCCCGAGCGCCTTAGCATGTGCCGCGCGGTAGTGGGGCTCGACGCTGTCATTGACCTTACTGATTATCATGGTATAATGCATAACCTGGCTCGAGGTTCAGTGCACCACCAGTCTGTTGTGCCCGTGACTGCTCCCACTATGACTCCGTTTGACTCTCTGTGACCCGTCTGTTTCCTCTGTTGCAGTCCCCGCTGTCGGACTCGCGGGACGCTCTGCAGCGTATGCGGCGGCTGGGCGGACCGGGTCCTGGACCCGGACCCGGGCCGGGTCCAGAGGAGGGGACACAGGAGAAGATCGCCCGCCTGTACCAGGAGCACCTGGCCAAGATGATGGGACAGCGGCCCGACATGCCGCCCGGCTTCAGTCTCGACCATTACCAGCGGTACGTCTACCTCCTCCCCCGCGCGACCGATAATCTCCGACCGACCGCGCCCGGTGCGGTGACCCAGCTATGCACAGAGACCGTGGGAGCCCGGACCACCCGGCGGACCACCCCGCTGGCCGGACCATGGTCCGCGGTGATCGGTATTCAGTTCGGTCGCTATCGCCGGCACCGATCGTGTTCACTCGCCATGGTGCCATTCATTGTGTGCTCTCGATGTCGGCTGACCGGGACACGGTAGGTCGGACCACGCCCCTGTCACGAGAATCGCCCCGCGCACGATGGACGGCGTCGGGCTACCGACCTGGCCGCAGTGCGCTCAGAGTTAAATATGCGGCCGGGCCGCGCCGGCAGCCGGGTGCGACAGGCAGCCTGCAGCGCCGATGTTTGGATAGGGTTCGGTTACGCGGCCAATGCCAATCGCCCCTTGCTGGTGAGGCACGGCACCCGGCCGCTGATACGGGACATCATTCACCAGTGGTGTCGGGTGCCTCCCAGCGGATAGCGGATCGTCCACGGGCTGACACCAATAGAGACGCACCAACGGCGCGCCGATTCCCGACCGGATTACGAGTGGATTTCGAGGTGATTTATTCGGATCGGGTTAAAAACGCTTGCTTTGGTTAGGTAGGCTTAATATTTCTGCGTCAGAGAGTTTGATAAAAAAATCACCACGCTCGGAAGTCTAAGGAGCTTGGTTTGATCCTTCGAAAGCCGCTGGTGACCTGTACAAATGCGAACGTTGACCCTTAGAATCCTCGCATGCCATTTCTAGTTTCCTGAACTTCTGTACCTCTCGGTTCCACCGGCTCATGCGGTGGACAGATCGGTTCGGCGCTTCCGGCTCAGTTGGGCAGCAGTGCGACTGTGCTGTGTCGCCCGATGTCACCCGGTGTCACCCGATGTCGCCTCGTGTCGCCGTCGATGGCACCTGTCCTGCCCGTGCTGCCAAATGTCGCCGGCCGAAATAGCGCCCGTTTCGCGTCACATGGAACGAGCCGGTGACCGTCCGATGGTCGGCGACAGTCAGACGGCGCGATGGTTGGATGATGGTTGGATGATGGTTGGATGATGGTCGAGCAGGGACCAGGCGACGGTCGGGGTCGAGCAGTTGGGTGGCACTGACTGTGAGACGCCGTTAATCATCAAAAGCGAAACTGGGCTGCCAATGGGCTGTTTGCATCTTTTATTTGATTTTTTTTAGTAATCACACAGGCAAAAAATGGGACGGTGCCCTTACGGTTGCCCGGGTCCCGTTCTAAAAGCAACAAGTGTTCTATAATGTCAAAATTCACTCAAAATTCGAATTACTGGTTGTAAGTGTGAGATGCAGCGTTGATGCGTACAGCGCAGTGAGTGAGGAGGGAGGGAGCGGCGGCCGGTAGCCAGCCAAGGCGGCGGTCTGCGCGGCCGGGAGCTAACCGACAGTGTCGCCTCGCCTCGGCCGCGGTCTGGCGTCTGTCACCGCCCGGCGCGTTCGTAGAAGTGACACATCCACCGTCGATCTGTGGCCACCGCCGGGCCGTAAAGAAGCGAGCTCTTGTTGCCGGGCTCGTCCGTCAGACGGAGATGGCTAAAGGAGGGGACATCTGGACGGGCGAGAGAGACGCGTCGGTGGGCGGGAGGTCAATGTGCGTGGGATAGGGAGGGGGCGAGTGGGTGGGTAGAGTGATAGTGACACACCTGACACGCATGACACATATCTGGCACGCCTAACACTAGCTGACATCTGACGCACCTGACACACCTGACACATCTAACACATCTCTCATACCTGACACACCTGACATCTGACACTCCTGACACACCTGACACGCCTGACATCTGACACTCCTGACACACCTGACACGCCTGACATCTGACACACCTGACACGCCTGACTCCGTTTCCACAGACTCCGTAACCCGGAGGAGCTGCGGAGCGCCATGGACTTCTACAACCAGGAGCTGGTGCGGCACATGCAGCACCTGCAGCAGGCGCAGCAGCAGCACCAGCAGACCCAGCAGCCGCTGCCGGCCGTTAGCGGCGCTGGACCAGCTGCAGCGGCAGCTGGACAGCAGGAGAGGCCACCGACCCGCGGCGGTCGGCCCGACAGTCCGGCGGACGGGGGTGACGAGAAGGGCAGCTCGGCGTTCAGCCAGGTCCGGCCGCCCTCGACCGAGGCGCACAAAGGTACGGCGGCCGTGAAAGGGTAGTCTCAATTATTGGTTACCTAGGGTGTATGATGTGAAAGTCACAGGAAATATTGAGAAGATGGTGATGCTATTCGACACTGCTTATTTTTGTAATACATATTTGTTGATGCTACGTTTTCCAATGGTAAACATCTTTGTAGAAACGTCTTTCATGAATGCCGGATTATTTTATTAACACCTTCCCGTCTGCCCTCAGCGACTGCCGTGTCCAGTCCGGGCTCTCTGCCGCCCACGTCGGGCGGGGGCGGCGGCGGGGGCGGCTCGGCGGTCGGCCCGGGTCCCGGCCCGCTGTCCGGCCTCCACCCGGCCGGCTTCTTCATGCACTCAGCGGCGGCGGCGGCGGCTGCTGCCGCGGCCTCCACAGCTCCCGACGAGCTGGTTACAGCAGCCAGCCCGCTGCAGCGCATGGCCAGCATCACCAACTCGCTGATGAACAACGCTGCGCTGCCGCCGCTGCAGCCACACCCGCCGCGACCCATGAAGGCCGTCCTGCCGCCCATCACCCAGCAGCAGTTCGACCAGTTCAGCAACCTCAACACGGAGGAGGTGGTCAGGAGGGTACGTGATGCCGCACGCGCTCCACCAACCCTTCTACATTCCTCTTTGTGTTTTGCTCTCAAAATCAACCTGGTCACCGACATCCGTGCGCCCGATCTTTCCTTTCCCTAAGCGCCCACCCCTTCTAGTCCGTCGGGCGCCCAGTTCTCGTTCCGCCGCGCCGCGTCTCGTCATCCGCAGATCCCTAGCGCCGAGTGACTGGCCGTTTGACGTGACACAGCGCCAGTGTAGGCAGACATTTGGACCGGCGACCGTGAGTAATTAATGCGGCCGGCGCCGGCGCAGTGACTGTGAGGGCCGCGCTGCAGCGGCGCGGCTCCATTGACGCCGCGTACTGCACCGATTAATGGCCGGAATTTGTCATCGCACGGCCGGGGGACGCTTTGTTTGGACAGCCGGCCGGCCGCTGGTGACCTCAACCTTCGGTGACCGGCGCCGCCGCCGGCTGTGGTTTATGGTAGTGTCGCCGCCGCGCCAGTATTGCCGTCAGGCGGTGTCGGCGCCGCTTAAGTGACTCGCCGGTCCATCGTGTGGGGGGAGGGGGGGGCGAATCAGTGCGGTGGTGACTCATTGAGATAAACCCTAGAACTTCCATACGCGACCCCTGGCAACCGGCACCTCCCCGCCGGCCGCCCGAGCCCCACTCTGACCTCCTCTCCCGTTCCCCCGGCCCGCAGATCAAGGAGCACCTCAGCCAGTACTCCATCTCTCAGCGTCTGTTCGGCGAGTCGGTGCTAGGCCTGTCTCAGGGCTCCGTATCCGACCTGCTGGCGCGCCCCAAGCCCTGGCACATGCTCACCCAGAAGGGGCGCGAGCCCTTCATTAGGATGAAAATGTTCCTGGATGACGAGAACGCCGTGCACAAGCTGGTGGCCAGTCAGTACAAAATAGCGCCCGAGAAACTGATGCGCACCGGCTGCTACAATGGAGGTAAACGGCCCGGTGGGTGTCGCTCGCAGACGAGTCGACCTGGTCGACTCGCTGTTCGAGATGAGCTCTTCTTCTTTGTGGAGTTTATGCGCTGCATGGAATTCCATTTACCATTCACTGGATTCATTCTTTTTCAATTTTCATAGTTGTGTATTTGAGGATTTTTTATCACGCCTGTGTCGTATACTTTTCCTTACACTCCCTGTGCCCTCCGCTCGTGCCCAGGCTTCCCCAAGATGCCGCTGAAGCTGCCGGACATGCCCAAGTCTCTCGAGTCGCCGCTGCCGCCGGCTGTCTCGCTGGCCGCCGGAGGTTTCCCCGGCCTGCCGCCGGCGGCGCTAGCGTCGCGACTGCCCGGCATGGACCCTCTGATGAAGTTTGGTCTGCGGATGCCCACCGCCGGCCAGCTACCTATGTCTGTGTATGAGACAGCGGCCATCACTCCAGAGCTGGATACACAGTACATCACCACCAAGATCAAGGAGGTGCTGCTGGCCAACAACATCGGACAAAAGGTACGACAGGAAGATACGTTGAAGCATAGACCTTTGTATACCTCGGTATACAGAGGTCTGTGGTTGAAGGGAAAGAGTCTTTATACAGGCAGAGTAGCTGACTGATCAGCTGTGTTTTACCTGTGGGCTGTGTGTCGTGTTCCAATGCGCTGCTATCCAGCCCCTGTGAGCCGCTGATCCTAGCTCGGCGCTGACGTATGTTAGATCACTATGCGGCGCCTGGGGGTTTACACGTCTGTGTCACTCGGTGCCGGTGTAACCCGGGCTGGTCCACCGGCTGATCCCGGTCCGACTGAGGGGGGCGGCGCCTGCGGGATCATCCCATTAGGGCGGCCCGCCGCGCTGCCGGTCCGCCTCTCTCAGTCCAACGCCCGGTAACGCCACTGGGCAGCCGGAGTGATACGGATTTGGCCGTTTTTGGCGTGATGTGGCGGTACGGAGTACGCGCGACTGGGCAGCGAGCCGTGGTCTCTGGTTGGAGAGAGTGGTCAGGGTGGGGAGAGGGGGAGGGGTGGGGAGGATCGGGTAGCCGGTTGACGACATGCGCTGTCGGACGATGCGACTTTGTGGTCTTTGTAAGACAATTTCACAGTTCGCTGCTTTTTCCTGTGAAGTCACTGATAGCTCATCTTATGAAGAATGCAGTACAGCCATGTTCACCGTCTGACGTGTGTATGTGTGTCTGCTCTCTGGTTTCAGCTGTTCGGAGAGACGGTGCTGGGCCTGTCGCAGGGTTCGGTCAGTGAACTGCTCTCCAAGCCCAAACCATGGCACCTGCTCAGCATCAAGGGCCGCGAGCCGTTCATCCGAATGAAGATGTGGCTGGAGGACACGCCGCGGAACCTGGACAAGCTGCAGCGTATCAAGAGCGACCGCAAAGAGAGCTCCAAGCGGCGCCGCTCGCAGATGGAGACCGCTAGTGAGAGCAACGACAGCTCGGACGTCTACTCCACCATGTCCAACAGCCCCAACGCCAAGAAGTCGCGCGTTCTCTTCTCTGACGAGCAGAAGGAAGCGCTGAAGCTGGCGTTCGCCATGGACCCGTACCCCAACATGACGTCCGTGGAGTTTCTGTGCCAGGAGCTCAACCTGACCCACCGCACCATCACTAACTGGTTCCACAATCACCGGATGCGGCTGAAACAGCAGACGGGGGCTGCCGGAGAGCCGGCGCCCTACCTGGCTGCGGGCGCGCGCGATGGCCAACAGCTGGACCCGCTCCAGTTCCGACTGCTGCTGAACCGGCGTCTGCAGGAGCTGCACCGAGAGAAGGCGGTGGCGGCCGGCGGTGGAGGTCCCCTGCCGGGCCCGCTGCCGTTCGCCGGGCTGACCGGTCCATTGCCCTTCCCCTTCCTCGACGGCCGGCTGTCCGGTGAGCCCATGAGCGGTCTCGATCTGAGCATGAAGTCCGACAACGACTTCGACAACCAGAGTGACGACGCGTCCAACATGTCCGGCGGCTCGAGTCCGCCGCCGGCCGGCTCGCCAGAGGGTGACGATGACGATGAGGAGGGCGGTGAGCGACGTCAGGCGGCGCCGGCGGGCCGCAGCTCGCGGCGCAAACCGGCCGCGCCGCAGTGGGTGAACCCGCAGTGGGCGGCCGAGCCGCGCCGGACGCCCCAGCCGCAGCAGCTCATCAATGGCGTCTGTGTGATGCAGACCGAGCTGGAGGGCGGCGAGGCGGGCGCCGAGCCCGCCCAGCCGCTGGTCAGGGTCGAGCCCGAGAGCGCGCCCGAACCCGACCCCGAACTGAAGCGGGAGCCGGACGAGGCCGAACGAGAGGAGGACGGCCCGGAGCCCGAACAGGAACCGGAGCCGGAGCCGGAGCCGGTGAAGGGGGAGCCGACCGACGCCGAGCCGGACTCGTCAGAAGCCGAGTAGCCGGCGCACGTGCAATGTCCAGTCGTGGCGCTTCTCGTACACACTATCCAGTCAGCCAAGTTCAGATGCCAAGTGATACGTCAGTTCGACTCTAAACCGGCCCTCGGGGCGCCACAGAGTGGCGTCTGGCCGCCGTTGCCGCCGACGGCCCACTCGCGTTGTGTTCTCATCCCATATTTTTGTATGTGTGCCGCCGCCGCCGCCGCGCGGCCGGCGTCCCGGTGGCGGTGGCGGTGGCGGTGGCGGCCGTTTTTATGTAGTCCGAGAGAGGGCCGAGCGACTGGCCGGGCTGAGCGGCCCGCTCGCGCTAGTCGGCCGACAAAAGACAGAGAGGTGGCGCGCTCGGTACGCGCGCTGCAGGACGTTGTTCGTGTTGTCTGTTCTCCCCTCACGTTGTTATTGCCGAGTGGTGTTCCGGCCGCTGCCTTACTGCGCTCGGCGGGGTCGACCGGTGTCCGGCGGCCGCGCCGTGCCGCCGGCCGCCGGTCGGCCCCGCCTCACAATGATCTCCGCAGCACGGCGACGCCCCCTGCCCCCCCCCCCCTACCGTCTCCCCCGGGAGACGGGCACCCCTCCCCGCGCCCCGCCCTCGGGTGTGTTGTCGTGCCCGCCCTGCCGGCGAGGCGTCCACTCATTTTGATATACTTGTAGCGCCTAGGTGGTCGCACGCGCGGCCCGCATCGGACCTGCCGCGCGCGGACCTGTCTGTAAGTCTGTCTGCGCGCCGCGCCGGCGCGTGTGTGTGCATGTTGCAATTATGTGTGGCCGTCTCGGCCTTTGCGTGTTACGGTTAATTGAGCCCCTGTTGCAATGTCCCAGGACAAATGCGTTGACCAGTGTATATCTGTAAGATACTTTACGGACAGTGTGATCAGTACAGAAGCTGTAAGCTTATCTACAAAATAAACTCTTGCTCTCGAATGGGTAGTCTGGTTTGTATTCCTCATCAAACCTTTTCCATCATTCTTATTCGTTGTATAAACTTAGCCGCGGAACGCACATTTTAGTGTTAGCATCTAATTATCCGTTTTTGGTAGACTCTTCTCAGCAATAAAAACCACAGAAATAATTTTATACTGCCTTATTACCTACATGCTTATTTCCTTTTCATAGCCCCTGATGGCGCACGAAAGCTTTGGACAAAACGAAGTGACAGGCAAGATTACTTTACGGTGACAGGGTCGGGTTCTCATTGACATCAATTTACATCATTCAAGTTCAACATTGTGGAATGACAGTTTGACGTTTGTGAAAAGCGATAATGTGAACACATATATATTGCACAATATATGTGCAATATATGTGCAATATATATGTGTTCACATTATCGCTTTTCACAAGTTCAACATTACCGACAATGTCGACCATTATGGGTAATTAGGATCAAACACCAAAATCCTGTGGTTAGATGGTCTGTATGCTCAAAATATGCAGAACGGCACCTGGGACGTCATTACGAGGCAGTTCGAGATAGGTCACAAGGGTCAGTTCGTAAACGCGCATTTTTCTCGTGACCCATAACACGTCATTCGAGGTCACGCTGGGTCACACGTGGTCTTACATACCTATTTAAATAAATAGATATAACTAGAGATGCTCGTCTCGTCTTCGCATGGACGTTGTGCCAGTGAGTCTCGCGTGTAAGCATTGTGCAGACTGTAGCGTGATCTGCTCGTGTCATATCTTGACTGACCCGAGATCAGGTTTTTTGATTGATGTTTTGATATCATGAATACTGTCGAACTGAATGGTGGCAAAACCTTTTTCTTACAATAGGAAAGTACCAATTCAGGAAATAATAGGTCTAAGGCCGAACGTGATCGAACATAAGCACTGTAAAATTTGATTTTTATTAGTCATTGGAACTTGGAAGTGTCTGTGTCTTAATGACAGTAGACACCTGATGCCAGGACGTTTTTCTAACGGATAAGTTAGCGTCCTTTCATTAGCTAGCTAAATTGAAGTAGGTGCAATGTATTCCGGAACTATACAAATATCCAAGGAAGATGTACGATAAAGCTCGTAAGACGGCAGCCGACCGACCTTCGCAAACGAAGCCAAGACAAGGATCGCATTCGGGACAGCGTAGTTTGCAGCAGACTTGCGGAGTCGATGGACTCCCGGTGACTCCGACTCCGGGTTCCGAATATCGACTCCGACTCCGGGCAGAACTGTCGACTCCGAACGACTCCGACTTTGGCTTCCAAAATCGAGTCCGACTTCGGTCAGAATTGTCGACTCCGACCGACTCCAACTCAGACTCAGCAGCCTTGGTTTGTAAGTAGAGAAAAGTGGGATAAGACGGCCACCCTAATTTCGGAGCCATTTTTTTCGGCTGGTTAGAAATAACATAGAGACGCAAAACTGAGTGAAAACCTTCGTTAGACATTTTATTTTCATATCCCAGAAGATGGAATTTCGAGCTGACGCAACAAATACCTAAATTGTAGCTATTTTTGCAAAAAAAAAAAAAACGTCCTACCCTACCCCATGAGGTAAAACGGCCAACCTTTTTCACCGACCGGCACAGCTGGTAATAAATGCCCGAGAGTAGCCGCATTGATGCAGTCACTCGTTGATCTCAAATTCTTTGGAAATATCCACCCTAAAAATGTAGCATACGAGATTCGTGCAGAATGTGTATGCTCGCATATAGGCCATGGTTCGGAAGCCTTGTAAAACCGTCTTTCATTTTAAGTGTTCTAAATAGAATAAGTGTATCTACCGAAAGAATGTTGCTAATATGTCTTTGTGTGTCGAAATGCAACATAGGTTTTTCAAATGCTTATTTTTTCCTACAGCAACATAAATATTTTTACCAGTTGGATTGGACCAATTGGATCCTGCTCTTGGCCGTCTTACCCCAAACTAATATCAGAAGCTCAGCACGATTTTTCGGGCCCTATCTTTTCGCTCGTAGCGCGGCTGGTTAGATCTGCAGAGGGGGTGGCCGTCGTACCCCACTTTCCCCTGATTGTACCGGTGGTGTAGGTACTCTGGGAGTGCTGTACCTCTGGGAGCGACGGTGACAGTCGACTGGAACTGATCCGTGTCTGCTGCTGATGAAGAGAGTCACAAAGTACAAACTACCTACTCTACGGTCTGACTAATTGGAACGGCTCAAGGTAAATAAGACTTCTAGTGTCGTGTAATGTGCCGACATAGCTAGTTCATGTGAGAGTCTAAATTTCGAATGGGTGACGAGATACTCGTAGATAGACGTAGAAAACGGCAATGGAAAGCTCTTAGCTAGCGCTTGACTTAGTGACTTAGTCAATAGCCGAACGTCATTGAAGGACAGAACGTTTAAAGGAAATAGTTCACTTTTAACATGGGTTTTGAACTGGAATAGCAGTTTCGTAGCTTGAGCTGATCAGGAGCTTTTACGGCCCAACGATCACCATACGCAAAGATATTTCATTTCTCGTCACGAAAAGGTGCCTTGCTGAGGAATGCGTGCCTTGCTGAGGAATGCAGCTGCTCGTCATCGTCAGCCAATCGGCATGCTGCTTAGTGCTTACAGCCAATGGGTTTGAACGACACACACAGAAATATTGAGCGGAAAAACGGTGTAATTGAAAGTACCAAAAGGAACATTTTTTTGGTGTAAAATTACTCTGTTTTCTGCGTAAAAGAACACTTAAATGTGTGTTTTGCTAGCTTCGGAGTGCTTCACTATTGTGTAGGAGAACCGCTTTCAGTGTACCTTTACCGCGGATCTCGCGTTACATTTACGCACAAATATGTGTTTTTGGTAAAAAGTACCAAAAGGAACACTCGCGTGGTAATCGTACACAAATTCATGGCGGTAAATTTACACAAATATGACGGTTATTATAACGATTTTTTCTGGTAAAGCTAATGTTCGGCCCGCAAAATTTGTAACGCAAGCGACACACGGCGGGACGTTGTCGCCAGCCGCGAGCCTTAGCTAAATGCAACGAAACATTGTGATGCTCAATGCCTACCCCATGCTGCAAACACGTTTGTTTGTTTGTCGTTTATTATTAAGAATCGACATGACATCTGACGGAAATAAAAGTTAGATTAGCGTATATACCTTATGATGTATATAAGCTGATATTTCACAACGCATATGGGCGCCGCTACAGGCCGCAGCCACCGCCCGTCTCCCGTCAACTGCCCGTAATTGATAAATAAAAAATATGTCATCTGTACGCACTACTTCACTGTGCCAAAATTATCGTTCATTTAATTAGCCATCGGCTCTCTGTTGCCTATCTGGCAAAATATTAGCATACCTATACCTAATTAACCCTAGAAAAGCATGAAAGTGCATCCATTATTTTCATAACACGACAGCAGTTCAGTTGAAAAATTACAAGCCCACCTTAGCACTCCGACAAAGCTGGATAATTTCCAGCAGCTCCTCCAATGTCGCTCCGCTTCAGATTTCCGACTCGGTCTTGATTGCAGTTATCAGACGATGACCACAATGCAGTATTTCACTTATTATTCACTTATTCACTCATTACTCAGCTTATTATCCAACTAGATAAACACCACAGCACTGTTTTATCTCACTGATGTCACAAGAATGGGCAAACTCACTCTGCGCACTGCAGCCACAACACTCCCCCGCCGGCCCCCGCGGTCCCCGGCGCACAACTGACAGATTGCCAAAATGGCGCCGCCGCCGTCAGCATTGAGCTCAAAATTTCGCTAAATTTACACGGGTTGACGTAAACGAACGGTGCTCTGGATGTGTACCGCAATTACCAGTGTGACACAACACTCATTCGCTTATGGATACACTTGCTTTGCATGAAAACATATCAGTTAGGTATTTGAACATCTGTTATGCTGTTACATTATCCTGTTTTGCGTAAAGATGCTTGTGTGGTGTAATAAAACTGTAATAAAACCAATAAACGTCGTATAAAAACAAACTTATTCTTGATGCCTTTACTTATTATGGCGTTGTGCGACGGATACCTTGCTTGTTTATCACGTAAATACTTAAACTAAAGATATTTTACTACGTGAAGCAGAACTTTGAAGCTATTTGAACTATTTACGAGTATATTGAACTTGACATCGCTCAATATTTCTGTGTGTGGACGCAATACCTACCTATGATTGGTTAACGAGTAAAAAGCTTCCGCGTCGAACAATAGGTAGGATTTTACATAGAGTACCTATAGTTTTACCTTTATCAAAATATATAAAATAATACTCTTAAAAAGGTTTAACCCTAGAACGCCTAGGGGGGGTTGTATCAACCCCCCCCCCTGAGGTTTTTTCGAAGTGCACGCTAAACGGCTTGTCGTAGCGGGCTGAAATTTTCAATACCCTCTGGGGCAACCTTTGCGCATCTTTTGCCGAAAAAAAATTGATCGGGTCATGTCAGGTCACGGAGTTATGACGTCATAGGAGGTACAGCCTCCGGCCGACAGTTACCAAACGTGTGCGCCGAATCCCTAGGTTTTCTGCCGGTGATACCTACATTGTTTGATGGATCATGATGAAACTTCCCATGCATGTTGGGGCAAGCATTGGCTATCGTGTGGTGCAAGAAAATTGACCGGGTCAGGTCAGGTCACGGAGTTATGACGTCATAAGAGGTACAGCCTCCGGCCGGATTTTCACGAAGTGTGTACCGAGTCCCGAGGTTTTCTGCTGATGCTATCCACATTGTTGGAAGTTGGAAATACACTTTTCTGAGTCGTTACCTACAGTATTTATAGCGGAGCAGTGGTCAACAGCCGACGAATCGGGACAAACACCGGAGGGTGATGTGACACCATATCACTCATCAGCAATAGGCCTCTTACTTTTATAGGGTAAATACACCAAAAAACACCATATATGATGCAGAATTGAGTGGGGAATACGTTGTTGAAGGTTTGAAGTTAATATCTCTCACCGTTTTGCCGCAATCGTTGCGCAAAGTTGAAAAA